GTAGCAGTGGCAGTGGTAGTGGTAGCGGTAGCAGTGGCAGTGGCAGTGGTAGTGGTAGTGGTGGGACGAGTGGCAATGAAACCTGTAAACGTCATAAAGAGTAGTAGCGACAATCGTAGGTTTGGTTGCAGTGATAGCCACCACAAGCAACAGTAATCGTTTCTTTTCTGGACCTTCAGGCTTCCGGAATTTTCAGGGGTTTCGGGCGATTTTGGACGGACTTTTGTGGGGTTCTGGGGATGGTCAACGGTGCGGAAGGGCCCTTCTCTCGAGAAAGTTCTCGAACACCATATCCGCGAGCCGTGCACAGGGTGTGCTTTAGGCTTCCAGAGCTTGGGGACCGAAGGGCTTTGCTGCTTGCTGGAGAGCTTCTATATATATGTATAATACCTAAACACTTGTGAATCCACCCAGAATCGCCCCTCCAGTCTGGAGGCCGGGCGAGCCCTGCTCTTTGACGATTTTCATGGCCGAGGCCCCCCCCGGACCTTCGAACCCCCAAAGGGGGCGCTTGAGGAAGCAGTTGGGCTCTTCTTTCACCATGCCCTGCCCATCCGTGTCCTTGTATGTGTGCACGTATGGGTCGACCTGTCTCTCTGTCTGTGTGTCTGTCGGTGTGTCCGTCTGTGTGTATGTATCCACGTCTGTCTGTATGTATGTACGTATGTGTGTATGTAGGTATGTAAGTATGTAGGTATGTAGGTATGTCGAGTTATGAAAATCATGACCCCAGTCTTTGCTCCGAATCCCAAGCCCGTGATACTTGTAATGCCCTCTTGCAACCGCCCAAAACGCTCAACCCGAAAGCCTCCAAGACTCCTGCAGAAGAGAACCCCCAAAAGGAACCCGTCAGGAGGCAACAATGCGAGCAGGCCTTAAAGGAACACCTTTTGGAGCCCTTCTCGGAACCCTTAAAGGAACCCGTTGCTGCAAGGAACCCTTACATGAACCCTCAAATGAACCCTACGAGGAATCCGTAAAGACCTAAAGTGGGAGAAAGGTCGGCCTGGACGATGCTCTGCTCGTACGCTGGTGTAGCTGGATGGACCGGTGCCACCCTGAAAAGGAGATGGCTAACTGGGTTTTGAAAAAGGGGGTCTAAAGACGTACTGTAGTAACCCTGTTTTGATTATGAACACCTTTTCCAGTTATCCAGGTTTTTTTTGCTACGATGTTATTTCAGTGACCATGGGACTTTTTTTTCGGAAGTACCGCGCCGGTTCTAAGTCTATGTGGGACCCTCTGCGGTTTCTATGGTTTAGGGCTTTGGCAGAACCCCCCCATTCCGTGGGGATATCGCCTCAAGACCGAGGGCGGGAAGCCAAGGATATGCCAACGACGCGGAATTCAGAGCTCCCGCAAGAACTGATGGTTTAGGGTTTGGGTTAAGGGTTTCTGATTCAAACCTTTGGACTCCAAGAACGTGTCGAAGGCAAACCTTCGATTGTCTGGCATCTCGTAGCAGTACATACGTTTGCGTCTCATTCTGCACAGTGTTGTTGTTGATGGTTGTCAGTGATGCTGATCACGACGACGTTGGTGATCATTAATTTTCACATGAGTATGACTACGATTATGACGATGGTGGTTACCATGATCACTATACAGCAACAACAACTACTACTACAACTACCACTGCCACTGCTACCGCTACCACTACTACTACTACTACTACTACTACTACTCCTGCTGCTGCTGCTACTACTACTACTACTACTACTACTACTACTACTACTGCTACTCTACTACTACTCTTCTACTACTACTACTACTACTACTACTACTACTACTACCACTACGACGTCTACTACTACTACTACTACTACTACTACTACTACGACTACTACTACTACTACTACTACTACTACTACTACTCCTGCTGCTGCTAGTGCTACTGCTGGCACTTCTACTACTACGACGACGACTACT